GGCGTGAAGGCAACGGGAAGGCGGACCGACGGCGTGGGTAATGGCGGGGGGAAAGTGGAGAAAGGCGGGGGAACGCCGAAGTAGGAGGGGCGGAGGCGGGGAGGAAGGCGGAGAAAGGCGGGGGGAATGCGGGGGGAGGCAGGGGCAAGGCGGCGGGAAGGCGGCAGGAAGGCTAGGGGAAGGCGGAGAAAAAGGGGAGTCCAGTGAATTTCAAGTGTCGGACGGCTTGGAGTGTAGGGGCAATCAGTCAAATCAATCAATCAATCAATCAATAAAGAAGAAAAGGAAATCCTTATCGGATTTCGGGCACCCTACTGTCTTAACCCGAAAACACGGTACGTACCTTGTATTCAAGCTACCTCCGAAAAATGGCTGCAAAGAAATCGCTGTTAAATTTTGGAAGAGAAGGTACCCTCGAATACAATGTACGTACCTTGTATTCGAGGTGTGCCTTGAAACTGTCATGTAACTCTCTCTCTCTCTCTCTCTCTCTCTCTCTCTCTCTCTCTCTCTCTCTCTCTCTCTCTGACGTGCGTTGTCCACTCACCTGCTTCCATACACGAGCGCAATGCTCTCTCTGTCTCTCACACACGCACACTCAAACCCAACTAGCATTCGAATGCATGTTGGACTGTGACTCTGTGAGCATGTAGCGCAGTCAAAATGAACATCACGCTACAGCCCCGTCCTGGTAGCGGTCGAGTGTGTTTTATTTGTGATATTATTACAAATATTTACAATTTAGTAAAAATTTGTTGTGTACTTTTTTTCCCCCCCTTGCCTTTGGAAAGTTGCACCCTAAAATTCGTTCTACAAGGTACATACCTTGTTTTCGGGTTAAGACTGTAGTTCTCGACTGTCTACATGTGAAGTTCACGATTGACGATGGTCCCTGCTCGTCGAGTGAATTTCGAGTGTCGGTTGGCCGTGGAGGGCAGTAAGTCAAAGCAATCATTCAATCAGTCAATCATTCAATGAAAAAAAAAAAAAAAAAAAAAAGACAAATCGTTAGTTGCGTGAAGGGCTTAAGGCTTGACGAGACACGGACACAGAAACACACACACACACACACACACGGACATAGACACACACACACACGAACATAGACACACACACACACGAACATAGACACACACACACACACACACACACACACACACAGAAATGCATGCACACACACACACAGATGCACACTCACAGGCGCAGACGCAAGAACGAAGGCACACATATACAGACAGACACGCAAACACAGACACACACACACACGCACACACAGACAAATACACACACACACACACACACATACACACACACATACACATGCATACACACAAAGACACACGCACACACAAAGGCACACACACAGACACAAACAACCATGCACACACAGACACACACAGGCACAGATGCACAGTAAGAGTCACACACACAAGAATGCAAGCACACAAACACACACAGACACGGAGACACAGACACACACACAAACAGAGATACACATAGACACCAACAGACACACACAGACAGACACATAAAGACACATGCTTGAAGTGCTGAAAAGTTTCCCCAAAACTATTATAGGCCTTTAATCACTTTCGCCTGACACACACACACACACACACACACACACACACACACACACACACACACACACACACACACACACACACACACACACAACCATACACACACATAGACAGCAACAGACACACACACACAGACACACAAACACACACACTTGAAGTGCTGAAAAGTTTCCCCAAAACTATTANACACACACACACACACACACACACACACACACACACACACACACACACACACACACACACACACACACACAGACGCACAACCATACACACATAGACAGACACAGACACAAACACACAGACACACAGACAGACACACATATAGACACACAACCACACACACACAGACACAACCACACACTTACAGGCACTTACAGTCACACAGACATACGCACACACAAACACAAACACAGTTACACACACAGACACACATAAAGACAGAGGTATGTAAGTGCTCTCAAAACTGTTATAGGCCTACAAGCACCTTTGCCCGTGCCTACCACACACACAGAGGCACACACACAGACACAAAAAACCACGCACACACAGACACACACAGGCACAGACACACACTCAGAGTCACACACACAAGAACACAGGCACACATGCACACACAGACACACACACAAACAAAGGTACACACAGACACACACAGACATAGACACAAAGACACAGACACACACACAAACAGAGGTGCACACAGACACACACAGACACAGACACAAAGACATAGGCTTGAAGTGCTGAAAAGTTTTCATAGAATTATTTTAGGCCTATGATCACTTTCGTCTGTGCCAGTCGTGTTTACACACAGACAGACACACACAAGAACATAGTTAGACACACACAGACACACGCATACACAGACACAGACACACAAAATGACACATGCACGCAGACACGTACACAGACACGCACGGACACAGACACATACGGACACACTGACACAGTCTGTGTCTGTGTTTGTATGTTTTTGTGTACGGCACACGGATACACACTCAGCCTGTGTTCGTGGCTTAATGTGTGTGGTTTTGTGTGTCTGTGTCTGTGTGTGTGTCTTTTTATGTGTACACTGGCACGGACTAACGCAAGCACACACACACAAAGTCACAGACATACACAACCACACACGCACAGACACACACAACCACACACACACAACCATACATATAGGCATAGACGCACACAACCACACACACACAGGCACAGGCACACAATCACTGGCACGAATGCAAGAACGAAGGAGTACAAACACAAACAAACACACACACACAGATACACATACACCTAGACACACACACACACAGACACACACTCGCATGCACGGACACAAGGACATAGACACACAGACACACACACACAGACACATACACACAAACACGCACACAGACACAAACACAGACACGCACGCACAGACACACACACACACAGACACACACACACACGTAGACACACGTAGACATACACACAGTCACACACACAGACACACACATAAAGACACAGATCTGTAAGTGCTGAAAAGTGTTCCCAAAACTGTTAAAGGCCAATAAGCACCTTTGCCCGAGCCTACCACACATATACAGGCACAAACACACACTCACAGGCACACACACAAAAACACACACAGACAGACACAGACACACACACAAACAGAGATACACACAGAAACATACAGGCACTCACAGACACACACATAAAGGCACAGGCGCATAAAAATTATAGGCCTATAGTCACTTTTACCTATGCCAGTCGTGTTTGCACACAGACACACGCACACAAGGACACAGT